GGATGATGATGAGGTAACTTATGTACATTTTAAGACTGCGTAGCATGCTGCAAAATGTCATATATTTACAGCCAAATAATGTAGTTTCATTTAAGATGGAAATATAAAGCATGATCTTTGAGTTAGAATTGTAATTTTTCATATTTTAGGCAGAAAACACTAAAGCACAGAAATTCCATTTATGACTTAGCTCATTTCAGATCTCCAACCAAGAGGGGGRAAAACTTCAACAAAAGGAAAAAAAACTGTTTGAAAATGTATTTTTTTTATTTTAAAATTAAAGGAATATTAGTGACCAAGTACCTTATATGTTATAGATCAAACACAAAACATTAACATGGCTCGAAAAAATTTTGAAAACCATAAAAAAGAAAGAAAGAAAAACTATCAATATATTTGCAAATTAAATTTATGAAATAACTGAAAAAATAACAAATTAAATTTATAAAATCTCTCGTACTGATTGGTTGGAAACGCGTGCTTTATGAGAGCACACATTTTTCTATTTTTCATTAGTTTAAATTCTTATTGTTCTTGACCACTCTGTCCCTCTTATAAACAGGCTGTGATGTCATACATATTGTAAAATAAGGCAATTCTGGATTTTTTATWTCTCATTTACTGTATTTTTTTTAGACAAGGAGACATACTGTACATATTCCAGCCCCAAAAATGAAGCTTCCTGGTAAGACTGTTAATTCATAATCTTACACTGTTTTAGATATAGAGGTYATTTAAATAATGTACTAGCCAAGAGGTCCAGATAGGGAAAAACTTTGCGTGATTTCATAAATATACAGACTGAAGCCTTTAAGCTGAGGTCCATTTCAAGACTTTGGGCATTTTTCCCTCTCCAGACTGACTTTAGGTGGATAAACAGCTCCTCTATTTTATCCCATTATTTTTCAATTTTATTTGTCATTTAACAATTGGTTTTCCCATGTGTGCGCTTGGCTGAATTTAGCCTTATGCCTGCTGGTGCATTAAATTGGAATTCTTGAATTTTAGGATAGACTGGAAAAGAATAAAGATATTTATAGGGATTATTCCTTACGTATTATGCCTCAAAATGTCTTATCCACACTTAACAGGACATGAAGAGTCTTACAATCCACCCCCAGAATATCTACCTACAGAAGAAGAGGTATGTGTAGATAAGTGCACWAGAGCTAATCACCCTTAATGTCTTGTTTATGATTTACTGTATGGTTTATGTCGCACCCTTGTTCCATATGGATATGATCAAAGGCACTTTACAATGAGTTATGAATTTATGAGATGTGGTTAGGATGGTCTCTGCTAGAGTTTCATTACGTCCTCAGTGATTCTCTTATGTCCTTCTGATATTTGTTAGTAATGATATAAAAAGTGTGGAGAGACAGGACTTCAATTTAAAGTGGTTATCAAAGCTGCATGAATTTTAAACATTCATAGATGTAATTACAAAGGCAGTAATTTCTGTTCAGTTTTTTTAAGAGGGTCRCACACAACAGTCTTGGCTCTCAATTAAATACTTATTATTTGCAACAACGATATTCCTTTGATTAGCAACGTTTCTATGGTTTGTTAGCCGGAACAAAAAACTGTATTACACAAGAATATTCCAGGCGTACAACGGGGTCCACACTTTGTGCATAAATTAAGCACACACGTACATGCGGAGCCCATGCGCAGAGCGCGTCCATTTCCTGCATTTGGGGACCATGAAAACTTCTGGCCTGTACTGTAGAAGAGGGAAAACATTTTGAAAATATTTTATTTGTTTAGGTTGCAGAATGGGAAGACATGGATCCTGAAGACAGACCACAAAATTTCCTTCCAAAAAAGTAAGTACTTTGTCCTTGTCCTCCGTGTTATCTTAAGAGTGTAACACTTCAAAATGCTCAGATGTTCATGGCTCATCTGTTTCATTTTTTTTTTCCTTCTGAGTACACTGCCACTGCTCCATCTCCTATTCACATGGTTCTAGTGTCAGCAGATGTTGATGTTGGGTGCTTATCATCATCATTATTTTTATCATTATCATCACTGTTATTTCTTCTGATATCTCTTTCAGATATTCCAGTCTTCGTCTTGTGCCTGCATACAACAACTTTATCCAAGAAAGATTTGAAAGATGTCTTGACTTGTACTTGTGTCCCAGGCAGAGGAGAATGAGGGTAAGGAAAATAACAATTCTTTTTCTGTGGTTGTCATTTTTGTCAGTAGTTACGTTAAACATGGAAACTCCCCAAGAGAGTAGATGAACACACAATGACTCTTGTTTTTGATTCATTATTATTTAATTTGCCAAGCAGAAATCTTTTTTGGCAATGTCTATTTGATAAATCAAAACCTTTTGTATACATGTATGTGGCAAGCCCGGGGGGGTACTTTGCCAGAATTTGGGTAGGGGTGTTCCCCTGGGATTCTGAAAGGGGTACCCTGTTTATRACAAAAGGTATAATGAATTGCACTGAGTTCCTGTTTCACTTATCATGTCAGCTCGGGGCAAAACATCATAAATTTTGTTTTTTTTACAAAAAAAACTCTTGTCAAGCGAAAAAACATTGCGCTGTTTCTGCTCCACAACATGGATGCTGTGGGGTTACTCTATGATAAATAGAAAAATTGTGGATCTGTTTCACTGTTACAGCCTGTCAATCATGTTTATAAAGTATGCCTATCAGTACCCTGACAGGAGTGTAGCTAGGTCTCGTTCAGACRGAGGAGGCAATGTGCAATTTCCCCACCAATACATGTGCATAGGCATACCATAACAACAGGTTTAGTAAAGTTTTTTTCGGCAGGCAGTGAGTGACCCCCTTGCCACTCTAACCTGATCTACATCTCTACATCTACCATGGATGCACTGCTCAGTCATCATTCAACTGATTTATTTAATAATAATAATAGTAATATAAATGATAATAATGATAATATTTATTTATAAAGCGCAAATACAAATCTGTTCTAAGTGCTAGTAAAAAGGATTATAATTACAAACAACAAAAACAACAACAAAATAAAATTATACATGATACATTTCGGAGAGATATTGGCAGTGAGTTCCAGAGTTCAGGAGCAGCTACAGAGAAGGAGCGATGACCATAAGATTTAAGATTATAAGACTGTGCTGATAGAAGAACTTGTGATCAAGAATGAAGATTATGGTTCAGTTTGGTTTAATGATTTTGTTCAATGATTTTTTTCTAGGTTCAAGTAAACCCAGATGATTTATTACCTAAGCTACCAAAACCAAAGGATTTACAACCATTCCCAACAACAGAATCTATCGTAAGTACAAGCTGGTCAAGATGTTGTGTATGAACCTTGAGCTCACATGAACACATTAACCTGAAATGGGAAAACATTACCCCCAAGCCGAAGAAATGAAATTAAAAGGCACAGATTAGTTTTCCAAATTTAAGTCAAGGTTTACACCCAGGTTTAAAACTAAAGCACCCTTAAAGGAAGCAAAAATTATGGATTTTTTGCTTCTGTCAATAGAATTTACAATTCCACAATAAATTATGAGTTTGAGTTTTATAGTCAATGATGGAAGACAAAATCATAATATCTGTGGTTGACTTTGTAACTTGCATAGTCATAGTATGCAGTACAGGGCTTAGAATAACAGCTGATCAGTTGCCAGTCATGATAACCAGCCAAATTAGTTTTAGCTCAGTCATACCTTGTTTCTGGCTCAACAATACTGATCAAAATGACCGAAAAGGCAAACATTTGACAGGACAGGTTTCTATTCTGGTCAGACATTGACCAATGAGCAGCTGTTAATTTAAGTAGTAGCAGTAGCTATTGTAACACATGGATATAATTTTTTACCTTGCTAAGGTTTTCAAAGGACACAATGGGATGGTGAGGTGTATCTCTGTGGACCCAACAGGACAGTGGCTGGCATCTGGCAGTGATGACAAGACAGTGAAATGTTGGGAAGTTTGTACTGGAAGATGTCTGAAGACCATACCCATGGAGCATGCTGTTCAGAGTCTTGTTTGGAATCCAAATCCACAGTGTACTCTACTAGCAGCTGCAGTGTAAGAATGAATTGATTTTTAAAATACAAACAAGATACAACCAATGAATAGGTATGGGTTGAATGTCGGCATGTGGGGACTCAACATTCTGGTCACTCAGCACTCTCATGGAGATTGCCATGACAACTCTTCCAAAGTCCACCACCTGTAATAAGGGCTTAAAATAACGGCCTTTGGCTGATAACTGTAARAATACCAAGCAACGGCAAAAGGGGTTGAGCAGGAGGTACAAGAAAAAGGTGAAGGCAAACCTGAAGCTATGTACTGTCAAAATGTACAAAGAATGAATGGCTAGGTTTGAAATTCAATCTAGTCTTTTGCTATTTTGTAAAAAGGTCAATCATAGAGTTGTCTGAAGAGGGTAATGATGCCTAATTGTAAATGTGAGTTTTTGTTGGGAGAGAATACAGTTCTTTTAACTTCATGTGTAAAGGCTGATTTATACAGTACAATTTTTCCTCACAACTGATGACACAATGTTTTTTTATTTAAATGGACCATACAACTTGCTTATGATTGTAAAGGGAAGCTAAAACTTGGCATTAGTATTTTGCACATCACAGTTGTGAGGAAAGATTGCAATTATTGTAATCTCCCTAGATGGAGGGAACAACCAGGAAAAAAATTTATTGGTTAAATATACAAAAGGTTGTGAGGAAAAACTGTACTGTTTAAATAGCCCTCGACTTGACAGTGGATATATTTTATCTTAGAAATGATCAAGCAGTCATACTAAACCCTGGTCTTGGTGACAGACTGCTATGTACAGCAACAGATGATATGATTGAATCGTTTACACCTCTTGAGGATGGTAAGAACTCACAGCTTCATTCACCATAGATCAAAACTTTACCACCTTTCGTATCCATTCAACAATGTTTTCCTATCTCAAACCATGTGTCATTCATTCCCTAGAGAATCATTTCTTTGTTTAACGGTTGCACATGAGAAGAAACATGAATATGGGTACAGCTCGAACAAAAAATCTCATATGGTCTGAAATGGAAAAACATTACTTCTCTTCCACTGAACTGCAGGGCGCTGTTGTACGAAGGGTGGATAGCACTATTTGATGGATAATTCCTTATCCAGTGAATAAATTGATGCTGTTATCCAATAAATTTACCCACTGGATAATATTTATCTGTCGGATAGTGCCATCTACCCATTGTACAACCAGGCCCAGGACTATAGCTACTATAACCAATATACTTGTGTTTTAGGTCCGGAATCTCCTGTTGAGTGGGGRGTTGCTGGTATAGACGAGTATAGAAGTGGAATAAGGCTTATTATCAAACACTCCAAGGTATGATTGTCAGTGCTGCTTTATCATCATTCATTGCTTGAAAAATGATAAATCTGAGCTCTTTTTTGATTTTTCTCATTTACTTTGATGGAGGAATAATGTTGAAAACATCTGTACTGTATATTGTAGTTACTTATTCACTTGTTGTATTCAACACATCAACACAGTCCCAACTAGTAACCACTAGTCATTCTTATTCACTTGTTGTATTCAACACACCAACCCAGTCCCAACTAGTAACCACTAGTCATTCTTATTCACTTGTTGTATTCAACATACCAACACAGTCCCAACTAGTAACCACTAGTCATTCTTATTCACTTGTTGTATTCAACACATCAACACAGTCCCAACTAGTAACCACTAGTCATTATTTAATCATTCTTTCCTTCAGGCTGTTTCACAGATTACATGGCATTCAAAGGGAGACTACTTTGCTACTGTTTTGTCTCAAGGTTTGTTTTTGCATTGTTTGCAGGGATTCTTTCGATGATCTCCTGTTGGAGAAAGGGTTCTTCAGCTAATGACCATTAAAATATTATCTTCTTATATTATCTTAGCATATTATTTTTGCTCTTCTCAGGTGGCAATAAATCTGTTTTTATTCATCAACTTTCTAAGAGAAGAAGTCAGGTTGGTTCATGCAGCTTATTGTGATAAATTAACGTTTTTCTTTGATATCAGTAATTTATTCATTTATCTATTGTYTTTAGTGTCCATTCAAAAAAGCAAAAGGCCTTGTTCAGCGAGTGTCTTTCCATCCAAACAAACCATTCCTTTTTGTTGCTGTAAGTATTCCATCTGTTGACTATTACATTCGTCAATGCAGACAATTTCTCTATGATTTTTGTTTTTTCCTTTAAARAAACAAACTCAATTTGGAACCTAAATTTTAAAACGAAAGAGGAGAAGGTGTTCAGGTGTTCACCCCACCCCTTCTGTTATGCTCCCTGAAACCCATTATTGTTTCATAAAATTCTTAACGAGCCATCTATTTCTTCAGACTCAAAAATATATCAGAGTTTATAATCTAACAAAACAAGAATTGGCCAAGAAGCTTATGTCCAATGTAAAATGGATATCAAGTATGGCAGTGCATCCAAAAGGTGAGAATAAGTTAAATGAAGAAATAGAAAATGCACGCATGTGCTGTGTGCTGTCATAAGGCAYGCGGCGGTTGGCAGAACACGAGAGAAGTGTTAGAAGAAGCACGACATGTAGCGGATTTCTTCTCAACACTCTCTAGTGTTCTGCCAATCCCCAAGTGCTTTATAAATGCACACAGAACAGCAAGTTTTTTATTTCTTTTATGGAATACAAATTACAATAACTGTTATTTTAGATAGGAATGACACAACTGAAAGTKCCCGCACATGCTGTGTGCTCTCATAAAGCATGCGCTTTCAACCAATCAGAACGAGAGATTAATAACAGTTATTTTATAAAGCATAATAAGCACTGATAGGGACACTGAGGTGTTCAAAGGTACACCTTCTAACTCTTTATACATGGGCCCCATCAGGGACAGGTTCGGGGAGGGGGGGGGTGGTGAAGGAAGTGACAAGCCACACCCCTTTTGCTCAAATTGTGCAAGATGCAAGAAGTATTGAGATGAAATCTTCGTGCTCTCTTTCTTGGACAGGAATAGAATGCCATTGGTCTTGTCTCTCTTCACTTGTCTTACTTTCAAAGGTGAAGGGGGCATTGAAGAAACTTGTGTGCTGTTTTTAAACTCTTTGCRTTTTCAAATAAGTACATATTTTTTGTTTAAATGTAAGATACGGGGAAAAAAAGAAATATTTTTAAACCTCAAATCTTTTGTTGCAGGTGATAATGTAATCGTTGGTAGTTATGACAAGCGACTCTGTTGGTTTGATATGGATCTGTCCACCAAGCCATACAAGACATTGAGGTAATCGTCAGAACTGTAGAATCGTATCACTGTACCACTCCAGACTCATGATGAGCTGGGAATGTTAAACCAYTGGTGAAATTAATGTTAGTGACTTTGTAATTTGTCATGCTTATGTATGTTTGGTTCTACCATCACTCCACCATTGCAGAAAATCAAATTTGAAAAATATGCAGATAAACAGTAATAACGCCGCTTTGCAGGCTTCAAAGCCAGAGGTCAACGGTTCGATCCTCAGGATCTCCAAGTCTGTTTCAACTTCTCTCTGTTTTTTTGTAGCTTTTTAAATATGCATAATATGGAGAACTGACAGTCTGAGGGGGTACATGACCCCCTGGATCGGGAGAATTAGGCAACCACTTCTAAGTAAAATAAATTACCTATAGTTAGTTGCAGCATGCRTATTATGTGTTTATTTTATTGTCTTTTATCTTTTCAGGAGCCACAAGAAGGCCTTACGCCAAGTTGCATTCCATCAACACTATCCATTATTTGCATCAGCCAGTGATGACGGCACTGTTATCGTATGTCATGGCATGGTCTACAAGTAAGACAAATGATACTCCTATTTTGAGTTCGCCTTTGCTCAGTCTTAGCCTCGATTGTGTACAAATGTGTTCTTTTACAGAACAATACGAGTTGATTAAAATGCAATGGGTTTTGGTYGAATAGCTGAATATTATAACACACAACCGAGACTATGGCTGAGCAAAGAGAACTCGAAATTGGAGTATTACAAAACAATCCCAGCTGTAACTCCCTTCCCGATTATAGGCCCTCTCAATTATAAGCTCTCTCGATTATAAGCCCTCTTGATTATGAGCCCTCTCAATCATAGGCCCTCCCGATTATAGGCCCTCCCGATTATAGGCCCTCCCGATTATAAGCCCTATCGATTATAAGCCCTCTCGATTATAAGCCCTCTTGATTATAAGCCCTCCCGATTATAAGCCCTCTCAATTATAGGCCTCCTTGATTATAGGCCCTCTTGATTATTAGCCCACTAGTTTGCAAATAACACAAATATCATTCCAGTCAATAGGAAGAACTCTAGTCTCAGGCTGCTAATGCAAATATCAATCCAGTTATAAGCCCCCCTTCTCCCCCCGATTATAAACSCACCTCTGGGATCTCATAATGTATTTAATTGATGAAACGTAGATAAAAACCCTTACGAGTGAGTATAAGCTCGGCGATTATTTTTTCACATGAAGCTTGGGATATAAATGTCCACTTCCACAACTACACTTTCTTATTTCCACACTTGATCAGTTCCTTATGATCTTCTCTCACTGGGCTTTGCAAAGGGGAATGAATACCGTTTTCAATATACTTCTGATTTGAATAGCTCAATATATTTTTCATCATTTTCCAGTGACTTGATGCAAAATCCACTGATTGTTCCAGTCAAGATCCTCAGAGGTCATAAAGTGACATCAGACCTTGGTAAGTAACAAATGCTTGACCTTCTTGCTTGAAAACCTCCATTGACTCCAGTACCTTACTCGTATCCAGACCCTTCACAGCAAAAATTGATCTTTCTTAAGAAAGCTGCGAAGCTTTTGGGTACGATAATGCTCCAATACCATAAGATGGTCTGCTAGAGCAGTTTTCGTAGGACTGAAACGTTCGCGGCAATACGATTGATCACATTGCACGAAAATTTATTCTCCATGCAATCAAATACACGGTCAGTCTGACCTGTACCTATCCTCATCGCGCCTAAATGACACATAGGGCACACGCCAAGCTTATTAATAGTTTATTCGCAACGAAGTTAAAATCAAATTAATTTACAATCTATTAGAGAAAGAAAAGAGTCATGTTGCTGGGATGCCTGAAATAGTATAAACTAATTAAAGTGTTAGGCACCCCAGTTACAATGAATAATCGTAAAAGAATATAAAAGAAAGAAGATGATATCTCCATCTCTACTAGTTGTTTTCATCCAAGTATTCACCATTGAGTGCACCATCGAGTGCACTAGCCATTTTTAGCATTCCTAACTGTGTGCATATGAAACCAGGCCATTCGATAATCACTTTTCTTCGTCTTCCAGGTGTTTTGGATTGCATGTTTCACCCTCATGAACCCTGGATATTCAGTGCTGGAGCAGACAAGTTGATAAGACTTTATACATGAGCCAAACTGAGGACAATCGAGTACAGAACGCTATATATATATTTACTAGCATCGACTATAGCATGAACTGACAAGAAAAGAACCTTTCTGAACRATGTCTTGATGAGCAAAAACATGTACCTACATCAAAAACCAAACATGGAGAAAGCCAGTAGAAATGAATGTAAAATAAAAGATCCAAATGGACACAAGTTTGTTTATGGTGGAAGCTTAAACTAAATATTTACGTTAGTCCATGAAGGATTTCGCGCAAGGAGGCGAATACATGTACATGGCGGAAAGGCACGCAGAGTCACAAAAAAAATGGAATAAATGAAATATTTGAATTTTAAAATTATTGGAAGTTTTGATAATCCCTCTACAAACCCTTTTACGTACCTGTGATGTGGTCCGCAATGTTACAGGAAAGGTTGCTACGTGTGACATCCCTCTACAAACACTGTTACCTACCTGTGATGTGATGTGCAATGTTACAGTTAAGGTTGCTACATGTGACATCCCTCTACAAACCCTGTTACCTACCTGTGATGTGATGTGTAATGTTACAGTTAAGGTTGCTACATGTGACATCCCTCTACAAACACTGTTACCTACCTGTGATGTGATGTGCAATGTTATAGTTAAGGTTGCTACATGTGACACCCCTCTACAAACMCTGTTACCTACCTGTGATGTGATGTGTAATGTTACAGGAAAGGTTGCTATGTGTGACATCCCTCTACAAACCCTTTTACCTACCTGTGATGTGATGCGCAATGTTACAGGAAAGGTTGCTACGTGTGACATCCCTCTACAAACCCTGTTACCTACCTGTGATGTAGTTCGCAATGTTACAGTTAAGGTTGCTATGTGTGACATCCCTCTACAAACCCNACCCTGTTACCTACCTGTGATGTAGTTCGCAATGTTACAGTTAAGGTTGCTATGTGTGACATCCCTCTACAAACCCTGTTACCTACCTGTGATGTGGTGTGCAGTGTTACAAGAAAGGTTGCTACGTGTGACATCCCTCTACAAACCCTCTTACCTACCTGTGATGTGGTACACAATGTTACAGTAAAGGTTGCTACGTGTTTACTAATTCCCTCTTCTCAGATCTCACTCTTTCCATCTTTAATCTTGGATATTTTTTCTGCTCTTTTATTTTCCAATGGTCCTTCAAACTAATTAATTTGTTCTATAATTTATTTTATTTATTTTGTAAGTAAGCTCTTCCGATATTTCTAAAACACGAATTTACGGTATAAAGAACGAATTCGCAAATGCCGTGCGAAATTGCGAATGGCCAGTTGTACTCGTAAACTTGCGTTGGTTTTGGCAACCCGAGGAATCGATAGAGTCACTGATTTAAGTGATCTCTTTAAAAAAGTCTAGACTGTTCTACTAACGAATTGATACTGCTCTACGAAAGATCTCACAAGAGGAACAATTAAGGAAGAAAGGTTTCTAGAGCAAATATTTTTTCAAGTATTAGAATGTCTTTTAGGTTTTCTGATTCGAAAACACAAATTTACTTTGAAACTTGTGTCTCTTTAAATATTCTCCTGCAGGGCACAGTTGCATGAAGGGTGGATAGCACTAGCAACTTTGTCCAGTGGATATTAAAATGCTGTTATCAACTAGATAAGAATTATCCGTCGGATAGCGCTATTCACATCTTGTACATCTTAAGGCAAAAGCGCTAGAAGAGCTAGACACTTACATAAACAGATTTTCATTTACACTGTAAACAAAATATTTAATTGGGTTTCCTGTGTTGCACTAACGCACCTGCCCCATCAGCCCATTCGGTCAACACATCAGCGAGAAAAACATGGCGAAGGTGAGAAGTTGTAAAATAGAAAAGAAAAGCACTATTTAAACGGTAAGAAACGTTCAGAATCTTATAATAACCCTTGAAATATTAAATTTAATTGTTTTTGCTTCTCTGTAAGTCTTTATTTCTGACATTTGTGGTGCTTTCTCTAAGTTAGCCGTATTTTTCCTTGCACGTGGACACAGTCGTAGTTGTAGCAAAACCTTGTTTTCAAACATAAATTTCTTGTTTTTTAGAAGCTTTTTTATCCTTGAACAGTAATACCTATTTTTGGAGTTTGWTTTTTCGTTCAAAGAATTTGTAAAACTGTTTTTAATTCTTCGATATTTGAAGCCAAAGACATTCCTTACCTACCCCTCTCCAGAAGAATTAATTAGAAAACGAAATTATAGCATCTCGTCTCATGTGTTTTTTGGAGGTTTTTTTTTTTGCAATAAATTTTGAAGAATTTAAGCCAAAAGAAAACGAATACTATTTCAATTAGTATTTTTTAAACATTTAAAAAAAAATATTCAAATTATTGTCAGGTGATTCTTAATCTGTTTTTTTGTTGTTTTCTTTTTCAGCTGCAAAACAATATCTGGACATGATTATGATTGACTTACTAGATTTCGTCAGTTTTGTGGGTAATCCATATTTGCTGGTATGTTAAAATGTAATRTAAAAATGGTGAACAAAACCTTAAGTATTGTACAGCCCCTGTTATGAGAGGTTTCACGAGTAAGTTGTTGGGCATTTAGAAGAATGTTCTTTGATCTAGACATTTCAAATGCAGTTGTCCCTAAATGACATTTCTTTGTTAACAAAATACTTACAGTTTAGTAATATGTGGAAAAATTACATCTTATCACTCTCAAATTTGAGATTTTCATCTGAAAAATGAACTTTGATGGAACCTCCCATATTTTATTATGTACATTTAAAGACAACCTGAACAGGAGATTGATAGGTTGGTGCTAAATTGTTGAGTTATGATTGACTGAACTTTATTGATGAACGAGTTTCCATCCTGATTAAGTTTAGCCTGTGGCCATCAATATAGAGCTATTTCAAAATCAGTTGGTGAAGGTTTTCGTGCATGTTGCATTGTTACCAAGCTTGAAATATATTAAATATTCATATGTAAATTATATGGACGCAGATCAGATGATATGCAGACAAAGTTTAGGGAAAATGCTATATTGTCGTGAGCTTTTGCTGATTCCATTCCCATTGCCTATAGTGCATTTCAGGCTTGGTATGCTACATGCACCATGCAATAAAACCTTCACCAACCTTTATTGAAATGTATTAGCATCGTTTAGGAATATGCGACACATGTATTGGTTTTAACTTGTCGTTACGATGGAGAGTAGGTGCCTGGCAAAGCGGTAGGCGATGGCAACTAGCTGGCAAGAGGTAACCATGGCAACCAAGCCA